CAAAAATATTAATGTAATTACATGAAAAATACCAATTATTACAAATTTATTTTTCATGCTTTCATGCCGATTCATTTTCTTGGTAAGCAGCTCCAGTGCTCTTTGCCATCCATATGTCTGTATGTGCATATATTCAGATATATGTATGTACAAACACATATGCACTTTTTATTTCTGCACCACAGGCCAACATGACTTCTCTGCCTCTTCAATAACCAGATGGCAAAGATATATGCCTGTGCAAAGGCACTGTATTCTGGATCATTGCTCTTTGCTGTTTTTCAGCTGGATGTCACTTCAGATTACCTAGTGTTGTCTGAAGTGCAACACAAGCCCAACAAGCCAATTTCTATACTTTTGTAATACACTTGCATTCACTGACACTGCATGAGGTATAAATAAGTACAGATATTGCCCTAATAAATCTACAGTAATATAAATCTAGAAAAATAATCTTCTGCATTAGCAATCAAATAATATACTGAGATAAAATGAACCTTTAGGGAAAATACTTAAAGACTGAAGGATGAGTGAAGTATGGAACGTTTAGCTAAGTAATGATTAAATAGGTACAGGAACTACATATTAATATTTGATGAATTAAGTTGGAAAAAAATACGTAGGGTAACGTAAGGGGGTATAGCTTAAAGCCATGTGAAGAAATCTCATCAGGAAGACATATTAGATTGGGGAATAGTCTCTCAAGAAAAGAAGTATTAACCCTATAATTTAGATAACTGAAAATACAACTGGAGAAAATACCAGAAAACGACAACATGCAGCAAATATTCCAGGATTTGAGGGAATGATCTAGAAGACAAATGGTGACAAGAGTCCTATCTCTAGTTTCAGCTGACACTTCTTTAAGCTCTTGCCAAATGAGCATGAGACAGAGCTTTTCTGCCATGGGGACCAAAAGGGATATCCAGGAAAAGCAGAGGACCCTGACACCAGTTGTTAATGGAACATCAAGCTTTGCTAAAGGTAAACAGAGACTGCCAGGTTAAGGGCACGGAGACTCAACAAAAATCATTGAACAAAAGACAAAATCTGTTTATATGGCTCTGTTATTCAGTTAGAGGAATCAACATTTGGAGAATATGTTCTACAGCTGTTTCTCCACACTTATGTTTATAAAGGATTAACTGCTTAAACAAGCCGTGCAAACTTGTCTGCTGCTTCTCAACTTCACGTCTTTTGGTTCTCCCCTCTCCCAGCAGTAGAAGATGCCATTCAGGTTCAGGTCTACTTAAGCTGATCTGACTTGTATAGAAAGTCCACTGCTTCAACAATAATAGGCCCCATTCTGTGACTACATTTCTTTAACCAGAAAATGTCCACTGAAATCAAAAAAGGGGTTTTACATACCCATCACACAGCAGTGAACAGCAAGTCTTGTCTAAGGACTTCATTGTTCTTTCTGTGCAAGATATGGCTCATTGTCAGAGGCTGTCCTGGGTTCAGCTTAAGCCACAGTATTGGCTTATATGATTTTTCATCTGCTTAAGTGTATAATTTATGTTTACAAAGTGCAGATTCATAACTAAAGTAAGAGCTAGTACTTGCCCTGGACTAACATCTCTGTTTTCACCCAATAGCAAAAACTGACGTAATGTATCTTTTTTATCTTTTGGAATTGCCTACAAGTCCACATTATAAAATATATATAAATAAATAGATGTTATGCCTACATTTAAATTATATAATCTGTATACTTGTACTATATATATATTCATATATATATATACCTTATGTGCAGAGGAGAGAGTTTCAAGCCAACCTTATTGAGATTCAAAGCACAGCAGACCTTTTTCTCATCATATGAACATGACTATTTTGAGGCAAATTTGCATTTTGTAGCCAGAGGCCTCATTTGCAGGTGACTGAACTATCAATTAAAATAGCTTGTGTAGGTTTTTCTGTAGGTTTTTCATATAAACAGGTCATTGCTCTTTATTCAAGTGGTGAGTGGCATTTTAGACATTAATAACAGAAAGTTTTCCTAAAGATCTCCAGTACTGTCTTATGGATTGGCATTTTCTTTTCCCCAAGCTAGTGGAGGAATGAAGATGCACCTTTCCACACATTGTCACACTGGTCAAGAGTCTTAGCAGTATTATAGATATGTGCTGCTATAACAAGTTGTCTACCTTACCAATTAAAATTTAAAAACTCAATTCAGATCATATATGGTTATCAAAAAAATCCATCAATGGCTCCTCTATAGCCTTAAACCTTTGAGACTTTGGACTTTGAATAAAGTGAAAAACAAGTTAACAGAACTGAACTGATTTCAGGATTGGTACTTTGATGAAGCTTAGGATAGTCCTGTTTACCTTGCATTGTTTCAAAAGCAATCTGTTCTTGACCTACATGTTGTTTATAGCCAGTTTTCTATGGTTATTTGCAATTTATCTGTGCTGTTCAGTTGCATATTTATATCAGGTCCAGCCTCATAATTCAGCTCCAAGCCACTCTTCAGTGTAAGCATGTTAAAATAGGTCATGAACTCCATACTCACAATTACTACAGCTCTATTTCTATTATTGACTGATTGTTCTTTCTTAGGATATTTTTATTTGTCTCAACAATGCACTTAAGTGTAACTGGGTTCAGCACTTCTATGATTAACGGATTTTTAGGTTAGCTATTTAATCATGGACCAACAATTTTGTCACTGGTAGTGAGTCAATCATCCTACAAAATACACAGTTAATGTTTGAGGTTTTTGTTTCGTGGTTGGTTTGTTTTTCATAAACTGTTCATCAAACACTTGTGAATAACGAATGCACAACTACTTAGTATCAGACATTATATGTAAATTTAGGGCCCAATTAATCCAATAGTTTATCAAGAATACTTAAGTAATATTACCTAAAAGCATCAAATTAATTCTCTAATAGCCAACTGAACTTTCTGACTGTGCATAAGTGTTTGCAAAACATGGGCATGCACACACAGCCCCTACCCTCAAGCTGCTGCTGAGCTAGCCTGAGCCTTGTACTCACCTTCACCAGCCTCAGGGAAAGCAAAGGATTCGCAGCCTCACTCATATTTTCATTCAAAAATTGCCCAAAACCAATAATGTTATGCCTAGTGGAAGTGAAATGTCATACTTTACATTCCTTTTATGACTTTATTTAATATGTATATGGTTTTCTTGATTTAAGATATAATCTGTCAATGTATATTTGTACCACCACCTCCAGGATTGCTGTGGTGTAACTAAGGTTCAGTTATAATTTTCATTATAAATATATGCAGTAAGTTTGAATAATTTTTTGTAAAGCATACCAAGCTGTCTGCTTGGATGTGTTGGATTTTTCCTCCATGAAATTGATTTAAATCTTATACGACATTTTTCTAGAGAGGCCAAAAAATAAAACTGCATCTCTCAATATTAATAGTTACATTCATAAGAAAAAGCAAAAAACTTTTTTACATAGATTACTTTTTTAAGAGTTTACACAAAAGCAATGAGAAAACCAATACTGGCTATGTAAGTTTTATCAGCAGCTTTGGATGGGGTTATACTAGTGTCTCACAATGGGTAAAAACGTGAAATCACCGAACTCACCATAATGTAGCTTTTCTAGAAACTTCAGAGTATACAATCTACTCTAATTTCTAAATGAGGCCAACCAATGTCAAAGATGATATGTTTCACAGATGATGATTAAGTAATTCAGGGTCAAAATACTGTAACTTAGGTCTTGAGTATGAAAACCTTTACTTAATCCCTTTGAAGTCAACCAAGCTGCCTGTGTGTTTAGGGATACCTCTCATGAAGGAAGGATTTCTTTCTTAAAAAGTATCTGGGAATAAGGATAGAGTAAAACCACATATTTCACATTTAGGTATTTTATCTAAACAGCTGGAGTTTGGTCAGCAGATTCCAGGAAGTTTGTCAGATTTCTGAATTTTATAACAAAGATACTCTGCTTTAATAATTAGAATTTAATAATTTAAATCGTGTCTTTGCATTCCAAAATATAAACAATTAAACCCCCATGATTTATGTTATATATTGCACATGTAAAGCAGTCAAGTGAATCACTGGTCACTTAGACATGCAATGACATGTATAGAACTATTCCCTTCACAATTTATTAGAAAAAGCTGAAATTGAGAGCTTTTTTACAAATAGAACATCTTGGTTAAAAATGTTAGTCTGTATTAACTGAAATATTCTATCCAGGATTTGATAAGTTTAAGCAAGATCTGTATGTCTGTTGGGTCATATTTGAAACCAAAATTAACTCTGAATCAAAAATCAAATTATAGGTCTTTGCAGAATGTCAAAATCTGGTTCTCTTACAGCTGTGCTGAAAAAAAAAAACAAAAACAAAATCAAAAACAAAAACAAAAACAAAAAAAAATGCAGAAAGCCTAAAGAAATTGCCAAAGCAGACTCTTTTATGCAAAAAGTCCATGGAGCTGAATTTTTTAAATTAAGAGAGGTGTGACTATTTGATGTGTTTCGCCTGAGTACTTTATATTGCTTATAAAGGCCCAACAAAGTGCCTGACGAATTCTGCAGCTCTATCTGTTGTGGAGCCCTAGCAGGTACAGAGCTCAAAGAAACAGTCACCTCCTCCCATTATATGACCTTGTTCAAAGCACAGTATGTAGCTGCAGGAAGTGAGAACTGATAGTGCTGCAAGCTGTTATAGGCAACATTACCTTAGTCATTCTTTGGGTGGAGGAAGGAAGAAGGAAATTTTCTGAGTTAAAGTTGCTATAATTAATTTTCTGTGTGTGCACTTTACTCATACAGTCAATTTGTCATTGAAGGGTATCATTTACTCTTCTCTCCACAGACTTTTGAACAGCAAAGTAAAAGACGTTCGATATTGCAAAGTATGCAATACTGATGATAAAGCAGAAAAATCAGTGCTTTGCAAACCCTCCCATCACTTTGAGTCCTTTTTTCCAGCTGGGCTCTAAAGGAACTTTCCATCAAAGCCAAAAGAAAAATATATACAATTTTAAACCTTTACCTGACCTCTTGTTTCCAAAGGGTTACGCCTTAAACCTCTGGGTCCTTCCAACTTTCTTTTTTCTTGTTAGAACTTCCTTTTCAGGTGTCCTCCATGCCTCTTTATGGTACAGACCAGGCTTTCACGCCAGCTACCTCCTGCTCTGCTGGGAGCCCACACAGTGGAGCCACACTCTGACCTTGCCTTCAAACACAAAAGACAAAAGGGAAAGGATGAAACCAACTGAAGCAAGAGAAACAGTTGTACTAGGCAGCAGACGAGAGAGTGAAAAACCGCAACAACATAGTATTAGTGGGAACTGCAAGTTACAGCAAAATGCGCTGCACAAAAAGCATTTTAACCCTAACTCTGCAATCCAGAGGATTTTTTGTCCTTGTTATGTCATGGAATAGATTTCTTATTCTCAAGTGCAGGTCTTGTGAAGCCCAAGCAGAACTGTACTAGAAGAAACTGGAGAAACAAACAAAATTCCAGGTGGCTGCTCTGTTAAGAGAGGTTTTACAAAGACTGGTCTAAATAAGGAGTGAACCGACCTTTAAAGTAATAGAACCAAGGAAGATTGATAAAAGTATTGATTGAAGGAGATATTAGTAGAAGTATTTTCATATCTATTCATCTTTACTGCATGAGCCAGATGACAAATTTTTGAGCCATTTTTTAAAAAACAGGACTTCTCAGAAACAGGATGAAATACAAATACCAACTGCAACATTAAAAGTGATATCATATTTAACATAGAAGCATCTCTGGTGTATCTCAGAAGACATACTAAAAAAAAGGTCTTATGAATAGAAGTCTTAATAATGCTTAACCATAATAAGAGGGTAGGAGAGAAAGGATTAAGATCTAGTGAATCATTGTGAGGATATGCACATCATAATGTCTTCTAAAAGTGAATCCATTTCTAAGAGCACAGACTTACAGAGAAATCACATCTCACATCTGAATACTTACAATTTTAAAATATGAGTAAAATAACTCAGCTCACAATGATGAGTTCTCCCTGCTGTTGACTCTTTTTTTCCTTTTGCAGCCTGAGTTAAGCACCATTTCTAGTGAAAGCAGTCTAATGTTTTCTCTGTAGAGTTTAGTTTCACAGTTATAATCCAAGCTTTTTATTTGCAACACTAGCCCATTGCAGATTAGGGAATAAAGGAAAAATTAGGATGTGTGGAGGTGCATTTCAGTTGTCAATTTGTTTGCTTTTAATTTCTCAGAGATTTGCGATAAGAGAAGATTGTTGAGAGAAATCATGGTTTTTCGAATGTGTAGCAGTTTTGAATGGGATTACTTTGAGCTCTGCATTTTTTCTCCATCCTTTGAAGCATTGCAATCATGTTCTGATTTCCAGATTCACCCTGCTGTATTTTTACCTCATATCAGTTGAATGTATGACAGATATAGTGCATGGCATAGTTCCAGTTAAATATTGCTGGAAGAGCAAACACTGAAATCACAAGGAGCCTCAAGAAGGGTGAAAAGAGCTTTGCCTTACTCAGCACAACAAAGCCGTGGGCAGAAACACCTATGGTTAAGAGCGCAAATTCCTTTGGAAGACCTCACCAGCTGCAGACGTCTGTATAGACACATACTTGCACATGCATGCAAACATATATTTGTCTGTTTTCTACGGTCTTGTCTATAGCATGCAAATCTTTAATATTTTTTAGTGAACGCTTTGGTCGGTTCATTATCAAAGACCATTTTAAATCAACAGGATTCTTAAATTAATATTTGCACTTAAAACTGAATTTTGTCCTTTTAGGGCTTTTATTGAATCATTCTGAGAGAAAATGAGTTTAAGATCAATTAAATAAATTTACAAAACTCAGAAGTGAATGTAGGTATTAAGTTTCAGTTTTCTAACCTGCTTGAATGTTGACCTTCGAAATGACTTGTAACCATCTGCTCATAACATCTATATATTTCTTGAAATTGGGGAAAAAGAGTTCAGAGCATGAATTTCCTAAGGGCTCGATTCTTGGCAGAAGCATAACTAGGGAAGCATGACCTATAATTTCCCAGCCTAAAAATCTCTGGAGTTATCAGCAGAGATGGTGAAGGGAGGTTTTAGATGTTGAGGGCATAGCCAATTAGAAAAGTCACTTTAAGTGGATGCTAAAGCAGGGAGAGAAGGATCTTGGCTGGCACTCAAAATTTAAATAGAGCATAAAAAGCTGGTATTTTATTATTTCACGAGGAACTAAAGGAAAGTAATCAAGAATAGTTTGTACAACTTATCATAGGAAAGAAAAATAGAGGGACTGCAATTCAGATTTTCAAATCCAACAGTTTTATGAACTAAATAAGTAATAAATCCAAAAATAACAAAATGAAATAGAATTTAAGAAGCTATTTTAAAAAACAATTTGAATTAAACAGTATATTAGTTAGCATTTGAGCAAATTTATGTATTTTTATATTGTTACAGCTCTTGGTTGGGTATAAACAGCAGGATAAGTAGGAAGGTAAAACTCCTGGAAATCACAATTACTGCATTTTACAATGGCAATTTATATTTACAGTATTCATTGCTCAAAGTTGAAATTGTGACAAGTCTGTAACAGCTGTCTCTTTGAAACCTGTTTACTATAAGACACATTTTCTGAAGGCTTATACCCAGTCCCCAGTAAATGTATCACACACAGATGTCCCTGATGTTTTATCAAGGCTCATAGTTTTGTCCCTTTTCTCCAAATACAATGATATGTTTTGCTATCTCTGCTTTTGTAGTGCTACAGGTTGTATTCAAAGGAGAAATGCCTTATATAGGCTTATCTTTGTTATTTATGCAGAAGAGCAAACAAGTGTAAAGAGCAGATAAATGAAAGGTCCTTCTCAAAAGGAACATGGGAGCTGGAGTCCCAAGGTTCCTGAATGTGCTTACCTTTAACCACGGCAAAACAGGTCAATGAGTGAGTCTCCATAGACATGGGATACTGATCGCACGTTAAAGAGTGAGTTGGGTGAAGAAATGCAGTGAAGAATAACAGCAGAGCAAAAGGGAATTTAAATCTGCTCCAGAGTTCTGAAAATTGGCAGAGGCACAAGATGATTACAGCTGTTTATTTCAGATACTGAAGGATCATTAGGGAGGTTTTATGGAAAAGATTTATTAATTTGTCAAACTTACCTTAAATATGTTTTCTCTTTTTATCACACCTCCACAAAGCTAAAAAGTCATATCATAACTGTTATTGAACTAAGCTTTCAAACGGCCTTTAGGTAAGTACTGTCTGTGCATCTGACCATGATTCACAGAGGTGAAGTGGAACAGGAATGGTTAATTGACTGGTCTTTATAAAAGCAGGATGTCAAAAGCAAGGAGCACTGTTTTGCTCCCAGATTTTAATCAGAAAGCTTTCTATTAAGACAAACAGGTAGGTAGGTAGATAGATATTTGCATGTCTTGCACCTCTGGCAGTGATTTCAGTCTGTGGAGGCAAGGTGTAAGACATCAAACAAAACTCTCTTCTGATGTTGGCAGTAGCAGTCCTCACCTAATTTGACATGTGTAATTAGTGTCTCAAGGTGCAAGGTAGTGAAGAATCCTAACTACAGTCTGTGTACGAGAGAACAAAGAGTAAGAGAAATGCTTATATTTAGCCTTGATGTACTTTCAGTTTTTAAACCAAACAGAAGTGTTAAATAAATAGCTATGAATAGATTTGAAAACAGCTAGCAACAATAAGACAAAGGACTGGAAGAGATTAAGAATTTTTTTTTTTGGGGGGGGTATTTTGACTTCTTTTCCTCTTTCACACCTTATTAACCTCTTCTTACTTCCCATTTCAGCGAAGTTTCCACAGTACTGATGTCCATGCCTTGGCTTGTCAGACTGTTACAACTTTCCCTCCTGAGCTGGAGGGCAGCTCTTCTTTATCAGAAAGGTACTCAATAGGAAGGCTCATGGCTGAGGGCATGTTCTACAACTTTATTTTCCAGAACCACCAATTTTTATTCCCTTCAACATAAGTATCCTGTCTTGTTAGTCAGCTTGATAGTTGTCAACCGCATTAATGATAGGGAAAGGAGCAAGAAGAATTGTTTAAAATTCTGTAATGAAATAAGGACAATGGAAATTTTGGCTGAATAAGAGGAGAAACATCTATCTCTTAATGGACAGCTGCAATAAATTTTGAAATATCAATTTGGTCAAAACACTGGAAATAAGCTATAAAGAACAATTTCTGCACTGACACGAGATGAACTTCTAACCAAGAAGCTTTTATGTGTCTCTAACTTCTGAATATACCAATAGAACAGGAAGAGGGTGTGGATATCAAAGAAAATTGCTTTAGGGAATTTAATCTCACTATTAGCCATTTGTCCCCATGGATGTTGTCATGAAATGAAAAACATCACCTAGAGCTACTATAATGGTAAAATGAAAAAGAAATTTTTATTTGAAAGAAAAAGTATATCAGATGTTTATAAGACAGTAGACAATAACACAACAAGGTCAGATTTAGCAGATAGAAATGGTTCTTGTGTAACTGGACACCAGCAGGAAATATATCTTTGTTTAAGGATTAATTGCCACCTTTCAGCAACAGAGGTTTTCCATCAGGAGGAAGCTTGAAGAGAGAGATTTCTTGAAAGGAAACATTATCCTTGTTATGTCCCAGGGCTTTCAGAAAGGTAATTGAGCCTTCTTAAAAGCAAGGAGCTTCTGTAAGTGGCATTATACTGACAGTAACCACCTTTCAAGCATCAGGTTTTCACTTCTGTTCAAGTATTGTGTCATTAACATATAGAGATATTTATCATGTACAGAATGTCACAACAAGGAAACTTCTAAGAGCTTACCTTGATAAAAAGGAGCTCAGTTTGTCTGAAGGGGAAAAAGCAGTGTTGGCTTATGTATTAAAGTACATATTAAAATCTTATGGTGTTTGGAGAAAGGCAGAAAATCACTGAGGAGATGTTCCTGAACATCTTTTGGTACTCTGTCTTTCTCCTACCTTAGGTATAGCTTGTTCTGCTCCCAGATTCCCAGTGTGTGGCCATGCAATAAACAGTCTCACAACACTGAGGCTTTTGCAACAATAGCTTGGTCCCCTTGCACAATTATGTCAGTGTATCTTTTCCATGTACGTGTTCCCAGTTTCTAGGGGAAGCAGACCCCGAAGTTGCAGGACAGCAGGGATAAACTCCCTAAAGAGGAAAAGAGGAAAACCAACAGAACTATTTCTTGTTCTTGTAATGACATTTTTTAAGAAACAGACCTTCCACAAAGGTGGTACAGAAAACAGGATCTTCAAACATAATTTACCTAAACCAAAGCCAGAAACCTTTAAAATAGTAACTGGAGAGGAAATCTATTTTCACCACTTCAGTTAGATGCTTTCACTAAGAAAAATATCCCTTTCAGAAATCTCTCTAATATTTCTCCTATGAAGTGAAGTCAGTGAGGTATCCAGGGAACTTTACATCAGTAAAAAAAGTCATAGCTCTCCTGCAAGTTTTATGACTAGAACCATCTCCTTTTCACCTTCTTTTTATTCCATTCTGCTCCCTCAGTGGCCTCTACTCTTAAAATACTTAAAAGAGAAGCTAAAGCATGAAGATTATACCGGACTATTCCCACAGACGACTCCTGCTCCCTGCTGCTCCCAATATTCTTGCTAGCAGGATCTCCACTCTTGAGAATATTCTTTGGATGATATCTAAATGTCAACTGTGCCAACTTCTGAGACCTTGAAAATGCAGTATGTGTTGGGTTAGGATTAATATCTGTCACTTGACTCACTGGTCTTGCCACCTTCCCATATAAGTACCTTAATTTACTTTCCATATATATTCTTCTCTGCTGAAATGAAAGACAAGATAAAAGACATAAAGCTGATGTGCTGTTTGGTGACCGAGGCCCCTGTCAAGAGCTTAGAACTGGACTAAGACCACAAGCTCATTTCACATAACCAAATGAACAGCGGTCATACTATAATGATTTCTACAGCTGCTAAGAGCCATGGCCTTCAGACGATATACTGAATTCAGTATTTCCTTATGCAGATAGATAATCATTTTTTAAGCTCAGAAATCTAACATCTTCCAACACGAGAGTAAATTTCTTGTACTGTGAAGACTACAAGGATCAAATCTGCATCCTGTGTTCCAGGTACTCAGCTGTCATTCTGTGGCCCACTTTGAGTTTTACATATGCCTGAATTGAATTAAAGCCTGAAACTCAATGACTTTTATCAAGCTGTTGACTGTGAATCTGAAACTTTTCATTAACAGAGTCTTAAATGGAAATACCATATTTATAAGGTGATATACATTTATAAAAATTGCAAAATAGTAACTTTTCTGTTCTTTTAGCATGTTAAAATCATGATCTTAGCAGTGAAGAAGTAATTAGTTTGTCATTCTACAAAAAGCCAATGTGTACTAAGCATGTTCATGCCCCTAGAAGGGAGACAGCTATTAAATTCCTTACCTTTCCTATGTAAAAAGCTATTCTGGAAACATGCAAGTACTGTGATTCTTCCAAGCACTACACATCATTTCAAGAAACATTAAACTATTACCTTCCCATTTTTAGTTCTTACATCTTTCATCAAAATAATGACTTGGAGCGAAACAGTGAACAGCAAGCCAGGTCCTACAGAAAGAAAATTTTAAGAATATGTGGTAGAAAACCACAGTATAAAACCAAAAGGGAAAACTAAAGCAGTAAAATATTGTACTGTTTCTTTAGAATACAGAGCAGTGAAGCAGTAATTTACAATTAAATACCACATTTAGCATGCTGTGTATTCAAAGTAACAATTCAATAACATGATGTAATAACTCAATAATATAATTTCCAATACATTCTTGGTTAACGACTGGCCTGTTTATTAATAGCCAAAAATGAAACTGCTATAAACTTTCATTATGGTAGTCAGTAATGATGCATTACCCATATTATTTCCCATTAAAATTAATTGTTATTGGGCATTGTACCTGAAGTTCCCAGAGGTATATTTGTCCTTAATTGTATGAGGAGAAATTTCTGGGGAAAAAGAAAAATACAACAAAAATCCCCAACAAAACAGAAAAAAAATCCCCAAAACACCACCAAGCTTTGTTGTATTCTGAGTTCACGTACTTCACTGTTTTGTTTTAGAACAAAGTTATTTCCAGAATTGCTCATCACCCACATGGGAACTAACTGTTCGAAAGAGCTCCCTGGCTGCTTCCAGCCTGCTTCTGCTCCCACCTCTGAAACCTTCACTGTACCCTGATTGAGGGCAAAATTTTCCAAAGGTCTTTTTGAAGTGTTTAAATTCCATTTTCTGTTTTATATCCTCACCACCAGAGCACTAAACAGCCCAAAAGAGTTTTTATTAATGACTAACATCTGCCCAGTGCCATTATATATCATATAGAACCTTTTTTTTCTCTAGCTATGTACTGGCTGTAATGTTTCTGAAGTTTGGTGTAAGATCTGTGGTTTAGTCTAAGAGGAGCAACTTTTAAGTCTTGTAGTCATTTCCCAGCCCCGTTTCTTACTGTGTATGTTTTCATTTCTAGTCTGCCTATACCATATCCCATTGCCTGCAGGTCTTCCTGACCACACCCTTATACTGTGAAAACATTAACTCGTTGCAACCCAACTGACTGTTAAGGAGAGGAGAAAAGGCAGAAAAAAATTTTTACTTACTGAGATAAAGACTGGAACTGTGAGAAAATTTACATGAGAATAAGTCCATAATATTTTTCCAACGATGGAATAAAAATTAATTGGGAGGTACAGTTGCACTATGCTTGATATTGAAATCAGTCACAAGATTCAATGTAAGATTCAATCAGATTCAAGCCAAACCTAGTCTTTCCCAGTCTAGGTTTTATTTATTGAAAAATAAGGGATACTGGGGTGGGAGGGGGGAGGCGATAGAGGGGGAAGAGTTTGGATTTATTTTTTTTAAACTGACATTTTCAATTTTGCCAAATTACTGACTTCTCATGGTTTAACCTTTTTTATTTTTTTTTCCTACATAATGGAGATGAATTATCACCTTAAAGTCAACTTCTCAAAGGTACAGTTGGAATTAAGAGCACAGTTGCAAAACTGGAGGATTCTAGAGCCCAAGTAAGAGATATGCTGCAGATTTTAAGATATCCTTTATATATGTTTGTGTCCATGTAGTAAATCGGAACTTCAGTAGAGCCTTCTGTTTAAACCAATGGGACAATCACCTCTTAGTGTGGGTATGCAGGAGGAAGAGGAGGGCAGAACCCACTACTCTTCCCAAGTACCACAAAATGAGGTTCAAATTTTGGCTTTTCTGCATCTTTTGAGCATACCTCAGTTTACAAAAATGGAATTTGCCATTATGGTGGGACACTGTGTCTAAGACAGGCTGGCACCTTTCTATATCTCTCCCTTTCCATATCTAATCAGAGACTGGCATAAGTGATATTGTGTTAAAAAGTAGTTTGAATTTTACAGCCTGTGTATTTTGGAATAGAAAGGATCTAAGTGCTCATTTCTTGAGTTACCTCTCTTTGAAGCTTGCAACAAATCAATCTGTGCCCTTTATCTAAGATATGTGAAAATTAGGCACAAGGCTACAATACCATATTTATTCAAGCCTCCCAGAATTGAAACCTTTTCAATTACATTGTTTTGTTTTACATTTTGTGCAACAGTAAATTTATTTCTTATGCAGCAACTGAAGGCAGCATTTTTGATCTTTAGGCTAATTCATTACATCAGAACATAAACCCCATAAGCTAGAGCTAACAAGGGAAATATGTGTATTACCAAAAGCACAAGTTTTATACAATGGGAGATTCTAGTTGCAAAATGCTGAAAGTGTAGCAAATCCAAAATTGAAGTTACTACAAAACATTCAGTTCAATGAAAGCTGCAGTTCAGAGCAGTCTTACCACAGCTATGTTGACTCTTGAAATCACATGAAATGTACAAAGAAACACAAGGTTATAAAAAAATGCAATCTAAAAGATAAAAATCTCCTGATAGTCTGCTGCTTTGTTTGATTCAATATGAAATTTTAAGATCTGATTGTAAAAGACAAACTCAGTAATTTAATGACTTGAAATTAGGTCCTCACCTTTGTTTTCAGTCAAACCTTCTTCCTCACCCAGTCCTGTCCTCCATTCTTTTCTTCCAAAGACACAGTGAAAGAGGAAAAGAGTTTCTCACAGATGTGCAGATACTCCCCAGAGCCAGGTCAATCCCCTTGCATGACAGAGGCCTTGCAGTGGAAAGAGAAACCAGAACAAAGAAATATAAATACAGGGAAGGTTGTGGTCATGGCAGATACAACGCATGAAGGGAATACAAGCTTCTCAAGAAATCTTATTTGGGCTGCGAATGGAGGAGGTCAGAGTGACCTTCCCAACCCTGCAGCAGCTTGAACAGCTATGCCAATCCAAGAAGAGAAACTTGCTATTGTTATGAACAGAAAGGAAACCAAGGGACCATTTATGTAATGCGGCAGCTCTTCTGTTTTGCTGCAATGCAATAATTGCTTACCTCTTTCTGAAGAATGGCACACAATGCAGACCAAAGAGAAAAATATATGCGATGACTGTCTTGAAACCACAGCTTTATGCATTTTAATATAAGTTTATGAGAGCTTAAAACTATGGCCCTTACTCACACTGTAATCATTTACCTACAAGACCATTTTTCCATGGGCTTGCCTGTGGCAACACGAACACCATGGCTGTAGCAGCTTTGTTTCTCCTGCCAATAACCCCAACACTTTCTAGTTAGCTGGGAATCAGCCATACCCCTCTGCAAATAGGGCACTGTATTTTAATTTGCTAGAAGTACCCATACTGAAATAACACAATTTCTCAAAGTTTCTGCAAGTCTATTCTGTGAGTCTATTCTAATTTTTTTCTTTTATAGTCTTACATTTAAATAAAGTCCTCAGATTATTCCACTGCATTAGTCTCACGCTTCTCACTTTATCCCGTCTTCCTTCTGAATGTTGCACAGAAGAAAGCATTTGGAATTCAATCTTTAATTTTTTTATTTTTCTTTTCTTTTTTTTTTTTTTATTTTGCTGAACATGTCATTCCATTCCTTCCAACTGCACTATTTCTACAGTTGCCAATATTCATGTTTTTCAACAAGGACATGGTTTCTGTACAAATATCCAAACACAGTTTCAATGATAATTATGTTTTCCTCTTGCCATTTCCCTTTTGGGGTTAAGGTGAGCATGTAAACCAGATGGTTTTGGCAAAAACAAATTTTTAAACTGATAACCTTGCAAAAGCTATTTCTGCATATCTTAGAAGCTGAAGGAAGATCCTGCATGATTTATAACAGCAGATACAGAACAACAAACAGAACATTATATAAGAAAACAGGCTATTGTTACCTTAATATCGTTATTTATTAATACTTATGCAATATTCAGTAGTGTTTCTCCATCTACTCAAAACAATAGCTCTAATTACTTGAACTGCTCCATAACTTATTTTTTTTAGGCATGCATGACAATTCAATCTGATTATGTGATTCAAATAGGAGGAAAACATATAACTAGTCATTTTTTATGTCCTATTTATGCAAATATATTAAGCTAACCAGTAGACCCACTATTTATAGCCAATACCTTAATCTTGCAAGTAAGAAGGTAGTAAAAATGCTAGGAAATGCTTGTTAAGTCAGATGAGAGCATCAGCTGTTTAAAACAGCTTACTTAGCTCAATGAAACAAATTATATGTAGTGTTCCTCCTGTTCTGATCCATGCTAAAATAAATTAGCTTTTTACATGGGGCTGTGTAGAGAACACATTTAAGTACAAGGAAAAACACTGCTTTTTAAAGGATTGTAGTCATCTTTTTCTCTGTGCCCAGGGATCAAAAAAGAAAGGATTAAAATATTCTCAGTATTCCCCTTCACAGAGAAAAGTGTGGAAACACTGCAAATGACAGCAGTCCGACACAGGCCCCTAAAGCACTCTTTTGGTTTTGGCCAATGATTTTTTCCCCTCATTTTTTCTCTAGCACAGTGCTGCCTCTTGCTCAAGCCACTTGTAGGATTTGATTATATTCTTTTGGACTGTTTAAAGAATGAAGCAGTTTTTGTCAGTAATATAAAATTAAACTGTCATTTTCAGTAGTTTATAATTTCAGGTGTTAATTATATACATAATAGTGGTCATGAAAGAAATCTGTAGAAATAACAAAGGGTCAAATTTAAAAGCAATAATAAATATTATTTTTACATTCTAGGAAAAACAACTCCACCCCAGCAACAGATATAATCCAATTATTAAAGAAACTAAGATTAAAGAAGTTTCTTGATAAAAATAAAAGGTCTCCTATGATAAGCAGTTCTTACCTAATCAAAATTCTTCTTCCAAGTCTTGCAAAATGTAGGAAATCCAAATGCTATGTGCTGATGTTGCCAGAGGACAATCAAAGGTTGTCATTTAATTCTCCCTTCATTCCCATTACAGAAATTGCACCGGTACCCCTAGGTAAAGTTTGTCTATTCTGATCTCTGCCAATTGAAGGGGCTCCTGCAACCTGCCTAAGAGGATTAAAAAACCTTGATCTAATTCGTACCATGTGTTCTTATACCCAGCAAGATCCAATTCTTGCCTTGAACATCAAAACCATTAAAGAGAAGTGGCCTCAAAGGGCAAACAGCCATGCAGACCAGGACAAAATTTTTTTAAATTTCAGAAAATAATCAGAGAGCCAGCTATCAAAAGGGGAACTTGCTGGGATAAGGAAGGGGTAGGGGATGAGGGGAAGAATTAATTTTTAACCATCATTTAATACATTTCTAATTTGCACTCAAAACCTGACTGCATTCAAACTACTCTTATTCTGTTAGGGATTCAGGACAGCTCTGCCCAAAGAAGCCAAGAAGCACACCTTAACCTGTAAGCAGATGAAAACAAAGGGCTACCTGTCCAAAGGGGCTACCTGTCCCTTATTTCTGACAATGTCTCATTTAATTTGTAGAATTATAGAATAGTTAGGGTTGGAAAGGACCGTAAGACCATCTAGTTCCAACCCCCTGCCATGGGCACAGATCCCTCATCATAAACCATGTCGCTCAAGGCTCTGTTCAACCTGACCTTGAACACTGTCAGGGATGGAACTTTTACCAGTTCTCTGGGCAACCTTTTCCAGTGCCTCACCACCCTCACAGTAATGCACTTCTTCCTTTTATCTAACTTACACTTCCCCTGTTTAAGTTTAAACCCATTAACCCTTGTCCTACCACTACAACCCCTGATGATGAGTTCTTCTCCAGCATACTTGTAGGCCCCCTTCAGATACCAGAAGGTTGCTATAAGGTCACCACACAGTCTTGTCTTTTCCAGAATAGATATAGGACTGCATAGTTTGACAAATATTCCAGAATATCTGTCCCTTCTTCTCTGTTTTCACAGTTTATACAAATGAGGCACGGAACAGTTTCCCAATAACTAACAGCATAACAGACTTAAAGGCTTCAAGTTATACTTTCTACCCTTCAGAAAAGATGAACTGTCGCCTTACTTTTATGACCCCAGAGAATGGGATGATTAACTCAGTCAAAATGTGTTTTATCAGGCGAGTCTTGGTAGCTGTAGCAACAAGAGTTATTTAGGAGCATCTGAAAGTAACATAATGGAACAATAAAATTCGGTATTTTGTCTGGTGTGTTACTTGAAACAGGATGAATGAAAGACTCATGAAGGGGTCAAAACACTTTTTTTTTTTTTTGTGTAGCTGCGTATTTGTCTTCACCCATCAGGTTCCTCTCTCTCAGTATGGTGATGCTGCAGATCTGAATGACAGTCCCTCATAGTCTGTTTTTCAGCCTCATCTGGTTTGAAGATTACAGAAATACATGGATAATTCACATTTTAAAATAAGCATTTCAAATATAATATTTATATAACTGTAATATACATAAAACAGTTTTATGCCTTCCTCTTTTTATACTGCATTTTACAGTTTTCAAGCATTTATGAAGCCAGAGTGCACAGTACAAAAAAAAAAGAATATACATTCAAGGCATTAGATTTCATCATTACTGGCCCCCATTGAAAGCCCAGACAAATTTGTTTCACTAGTTCAGAAGTATGGTATTCTGCTACATATAACTTGGTGAGTTGATTCAGTTGGGAAGAGACACCATTATGAAATTTATTGCACAATTTTGTATTCCTCCTCAAATACAGGATGGCTTTGAATGGAGCTCAAAGATTCAATCAAATAAATCAGATTAATCCCTTTTGAAAGGCAGCTCAAGGGGAAAGAGTAACAGTTCTTTATGTCGTGCACTGACACATGTCTGAGCAGTAGGATGGTCAAGAGGCCTGTGAAGCTTGACTGGCATTAATTAATTCACTGTTTGTATTAAGTTTTCACTTCCAAATCCACAAACATGATGGGAAGACTTGGATTTACTACAAAAATGTGGTATGAACACATTGTTTCAATACACATATTCAGAACCCTATACGTATTCAGAACCCTACATACAAAGGGATCTGCTAGTACACAGAACAACACTATGCATATTGCAACAGTTTTTAATACACTGATTTAAAGTCTTTTAGATTTGATTGGTAAGAAACAGGATTAAAAAAGGCCAAAGAGAATATAATCAGCGGCAGAAGTTTTAGTGTATATATATATGTGTATATATATGTATTCCCTTTACTTGTTCTAAAATCAGTTGATTCTGCAGCAATAAACAAAGCAACTAACATTAGCTCTCCAAGTAACAATCAGGCACTTATAATAGCTACTCTCATGAGGAAAGATGCCAGGCAATGTGTAAAGCCATCCAGATTTTCCCCCCAAACTAAAGAATGTTCATTCAATCCAGTCAAAATTAACTAAACTAGTACAAAAAAATATCCACAGTGTATTAAATATAGCTTTTCCTGATACTGACAGATCAACTTTTTGGGTTGAAACACTTTTAGTCTGTATTTCTAAAGCATTTTCTAACATTTTCTGTATTTGCTTTACTGAATATCTAGGGGTGTTCCAGAAAGAACCCTAAAGTTTTTGAGAGGAGTCTAAATAGCAGCCAAATATACTATAATATCTCAAGTTACAGTACCTCAGTAAAACATTTTTCACTTGGAGTGTAAACCTGGTTTCTTTCAAGGGCTGATCTCAAATAGCAGTGTTCACCCCAACCAGTTAAAGAAACGGCTTTTTAAAAAGTTGTGGTTTTTTTTTTGTTTTTTTTTTTTTTAAAGTATAGCATGAGAAATTAGAGTTCTGAAAGAGTAGAAAGTAGTCAGGAAAATACCAAGACATGAGTCATGACTCATTGATTGTTAAGTCTAGAAATCTGGTAAGCATGATCACATGGAACAATTGACCACAATAGCTGTTAGTAAGTTTTCAGAAATCACACATCTCTCTATCCATTTTTTCCAGTTCATTATAGGAGCAATTGTACTTCAAGATCAATTGCCATCACTGGACCAAAGAACAAGAATATATGTAGCAGCTCAAGGAAGGTGCTATCTTTGAATCTCATAAAAAAATCTTTCGTTTTGGTAAAATATGATGTCAAGGGTTGTAAGAACACCCACAAAATCAGATATAATCATGTGTGCTCATGGAGAAGATTGATCCAATTAGTATCTCTTCTGACTGGATTTTAAAATGACCTGCTGTGTATGTGGAAGTCATTTGCTCAAGTCAGGAGGTTCTGACTACTCCTGGAAGAGACAGTTGTGGCTAGAAAATAAAAAATAAAAAGAAATTAATTAAAAAAAAATAAAAATTGACTATCTATGATGTTGCACGTGATCCTGAGAATGTCTGCTCGTCCAAGAGTCAAGACTGGGTTTTAGATGCTAGGATTGTGAATTTGTTTCTGACCTGAAATTTATTACATTTCCCATTCCTATAGCAAAAGTATACACTTGAATCAATTTTTCTTCTGCTGCTATTCAGCTCAGGTCTCCCTTGATGCCTGAAGTATGAAACAAGCAAGTGTGAGAAACTTCACTTCTCTGTATGATAGATACCACCAAAATCAGTTCAGTTGTTTTCAGTCTAAGTAGGTCCAGTCATTGATTAACAAGTTCTGCCATAATAATCGAGGAATTATTTCCTCTCTGTAATTTAAACATGCAATACCTTGTTTGCTTTTCTGACCAGCACTAAATCAGGCAAAAAACCTTGTTTGCACCCAGAACTGTTGTATTGTTTTCCCTTTCCAAATTCATTAACTGTTTGATAACATTAATAATGCATCTGCATGTTTTATCTTTTATCCTTCTACCATTTCACATAGCTCTTCAAGTTCCTTCCAACAACTTTTCCTATTCAACCAAGTAAATCTGAATCATCTTATAAAATCTGCCTATTTTTACTCATATTGTTTAGCAGTCTGCCTTAGCTCATCAAAACACATTTAAACCAAGCCACTCCTGAACAAAACTGGAGGCTCTCTGAGAAATGCTCACCATGTAAAAAATTATCACTCCATTCCTAACTTGCTTTTTTAGTAGTTTCTTAATCAATATTTTTCTTTAACCATCTTAGACATATTGCACTGAAGACGAGGAAGCTTGGTTAAATACAACAAACAAATGCAGCAGAAAAAACCCAAAACAAAACCAAAACCCACAAAACAATTTCAAGTATTCAAAGCACGGACTGGTTACACAAAATCTATTATCTTTCTTAAAAAAAAAATAAAATACTAAATTTATAATTAACTAAAATGGATAAATAAGGAGACTTGACTCTCATATTAATATTTTCTATTAATAAGCTGAAATAAGGGTTTTTCATAGAAAAAAATAAATATTTTAATGAAAATAACTGTGTTTAATATTCTTATGAAATAAATGAGATTCTTTGCTCTTTCAGGATGTAGCCCAAATGAAATTTTTTAAGGATAAGAATGATAAATTACTTTAAATGAAGCATTGTACAACCATGAACTACCACAGAAAAAGAAAATTGCTTTGATTGGATTTACATACACTGGGCATCTGCATTCAAATAAAGATTCAGAACTTCTATTCACACATTATACTCTGAAATAAGACTAAAATCTTCTGAGTTTCAGTAATAGCTGTCATATTTGTGCTTCCAATTTACATGACTTTGCATTATTTTGAATTTTTTTTTTAAATTAAAGTTTTGAGATACATATTCCTAGCTTTCTGTTTTTCAACACTTGCATAAAATTTTTCTTCTTCCCATTCTCAGAAGTATAATTCCTGGTATTGTAGCAATTATTTTGTTCCAGATGCAATAGTCGTCCTTTTTTAGGTTTTCATATTGCAAATAGCCCTAAACACTACCTATGTATCGCTTGGGTTAATTCCTGGTTTGGTTTTGTTCTTTTTGGTTTCTTTTTGATTTGTTTTTGTTTTTTTTTTTAATTTGTTTGTTTTGGTTTTTTCCCTCTGCTTTTTTAATTATTACAATATTTAGCTCTTTCTTAGCCTTTATTTCATTATAGTTTAAGAAAAATACATTAATTATATGTCCAGGCCAAGCTTTTGAAGATAAATGTGACACTCCCTCTGTTCTCTAAAGTTGACACCATATTCTTCCCCAGTATTAAATGTTTTAACCAAAGCTGTTTTGAAGTCTCTGAATTGAAAATGAAAAATTGCAGGAAAAGCTTTTGTACAGAGAATTTAACCCTTATTTTCTGAACAGATCAGATTCCCTGCCCAGAAAGTAATGTTAAATAATAATAACCCTGATATCAGCTGATACTTACATTAAACACTGAAGATTTAGCTGGAGAGGGTGCTGGGCCATCTAGCCTAGGCCATGCTTTGCCGAGAAAGGATGGACCGGATGATCCTTGAGGTCCCTTCGAACACTATATTCTATGATTCTATGACATGTTGGGTGATGTACATAGAGTCCAAAAAAAAACCACCAGCATTTTTTCATAAAGCTTGATTCATGCCCACTCACCAAGATCTATATTAATTCATTATTTTCCTTGGTCTCTTATGGCACTTTCAAAGGTTAGAGCTTCATAGCCTGTAAAAAAAGCTGAAACACATCAAAGCCAGAAACTTATCATTTATGTACCACCATTTAGGATATAAAAGTACGTATTATTTATTCAAATACAGAAATCAAACGTTAAATATGCATGAACGTAAAATGGAGGTTAAGACAATTTTCCTGCTATTCCTGTGGAAGTGGTTTTGGTCTCTTCCACTTTCAGTGGTTTTCATGAGTCATATTTATATTTCACAGTAGCCAGAAGCTTGGAGGAGTCCCTCCTATTTGCTGCTTCTTATCCAGTTACTTTAACAGCGAGATCAAGCTTTATTGTCTCATGAAACATAGGTCAGAGTTTTGGGTGAATTTCTGAAATATTTAAAAAAGACTTACATATTATGATTAGTAGTACTTCTGAAATTTCAGAACAGTACAATATTCAGTAAAAGTTTTCTTCTTCAAATCCTTGAGAGGTAAGTTTGATAAAAAAAAATAAACTTAATTGAAAAGCTTCCTTTGCAAAATGAACACCTTCTTCTCACACTACAAGTATTTTTAAAGGCTTGCAGAGGGAAAATAAAAAGCAGGCTGAGAGTAAATGCAACACTATATACATTTTTTTACTTAATAGTCGTAAGTTTTTGACCACACGTCTCATACAGAGGGAAGTGAAATTACCTATCTTTCTAACAAAAATAAGAAAGAATTTTACAATGCAAAATCAGATAAAATAGCTAAAATAGCAATGGTAGTTGCAAAAAATAAGTTACACATATGCGTGCACACACACAAATCCAAGTTGGATAGACAAGTAAAAGCATTCCAAGAATATTATGGAGTAACTTGAACATTTATGTGCCACAAATACAGCACTGTAAATCTTTTTTTTATAGAATGGATATTTATGGACTGTAGGAAGGAAAAAACTTTTCTACAGTTTTATACAATCTCTGAACATTGCAACACATTGCACTTTCACAGATGTGAAGACCAAATTCACATCTAATATTGATTGATATATATAAACTATTTTTATGGGAGAGCAGTAGCTGGTGTTTCCTGCTCATGAAAAAGGGGAGAGAAGGCTAGCAAGATACAACAAATTACAAGAGATAGAAGTACATCAATCAAGGCAGGCAGCAGTACACTGATGACTGACAAATACAAGGTATGTATGCTACTACAATCTCAGCACCAGAAACCTCTAAAGTGGAAAGTTGCTGTCTTATGGAATATGACAAAGTTAGCACTGGCAAAACTTGAAAGTTTAGAAATAATCAACTAGAAAAGCAGTAGTGAAACCAAGTACAGAAGGAAATGTTGATATCTAAGGTGGCAAGTGCAGGAAAAAGTGGGATTGGTATTTGCTGATAAAGTAGAAAAAAAAATAATCAATTTCAACATCAGCTGTCTTGTAGGAGTAACTCACCTCTATATCATCTTTTTGTCAGAGGCGTCATGTGGAATCAGAGCACCAGTCTGAAAGACACCAACAGAGATATACACACTGAGAAATGGCGGAGCAAAGACAACAGGGAGTTACTAGAAAGTCACGTAGCAGAAAGACACTTTATAATTATATTAGAAGAAATCTTTTTCATCCCACTGTGTCATTTTTGTTCCCTTCTGGATAGTTAACCTGAATCCCTACACTCTCTTCCTTCAGAAAAATTCTCAGGAGAGATCTGTTGCAAATTAGGTGAAGACCTCTTCCTTTAGAGTCAATATTAACTCTGTTTGCAGGAAGATCGCGTAAAATCCCAGTATTATTAGTGTCAATTGCTTACACCATGAGTCCTGAAATATGAAATTGTACAGGTCAGCTATATCACCGGTACAAAGAAGCTCATGCCTGGGCCATTTCAAGCTCCCTGCTCTATTACTAACACACACAGTCGTGCACCATTTCAGCCTTCATGCTATGCTTGCTTTTTAAGAGATTCAAAAGCATGTGCTCAGTTGCATGTCATCAGTTGAAATAAGAATTGAAGGCATTCCAAAATACATGTCTGACTAAGTTGTCTCAGTGGAAAATGTCAGTGCAGCGTGTACAAAGCAAAAAAGACAATTAGGTCTTGGGAAGACAATGTCAACACGAGTAGTTAATCCACAATGTCCAGAATCCCACCCATGTGTAGCACGTGTATTTACTCTAGAGAAGAAACAGTTGCCCCACTGAAACCAAGAATAGAAATTTCCTAAAATTTAATAGGGTGCAAATTTTCTCAGTAATTGCTGAGAAAATTTGTGTTTTGTAATATCTAAGGAAAGCACATACTACATATGTGAGTTTATGCAGATAATTCTGATCTTGAAAACAGGAAGTCTTTTTCTTGAATTTCTACTTATGTCATTTCCAATGCCATACCTGCACAAAACTTCCTCGGCTGCTTCCATTTCAGAACAAAAATGTAGTTACTTTAAGACACCAACCTCTACTACTTGTATGTGAAAGATTGCTCAGTGTATAGTCATCAATTTCATTAATCATAAATAATTTACAGAATGAAAGCCAGGTAGTGCTTTCTATTGTCTTTCAAGCATTCACTTATTGTTGCTAATCATCAATAAGTAAGGTTTTTTTGTTGTTTTTTTTTATTATGACCTCAAAACTTGTCCTGCAAGACCAATTTGCTGTTTGCTATTAATTACTTGCTGTTTGTCAGAGCAAAGCCCCATGTCCTGAGAGGAGCACTTGTGTGCTCCTGGTGCTTTGCAGACACTTTCCCTTCTTATTTTGATGCACTTCAAAACTTGGTGTAAACAGCAATACCTGGCAAAATTAGATTTCATGGTCCAGTTGTCGAAGGAATAACAGCAATCTATTTGACAAATGCAAAGACCTGCCAGTGGGGGAATTACCGGTGACTGTCATAGATGACAAGTGTTAATTAATGGCTTTTTTATTCTGACAGAACTGTCATACTCAGTTGACCCTTTACTTATCAGTTTTCAAGAAAACCCTTTTCCATCCTAGTAGGTCATTCCTACAGACCAAGAAGGAGCTGAAGTCTGGGAGTCCCACTTCCAGCCTCAATAGCTGCAGCTTCAAAGAGAAATTAAAACAAAACAAAACAACTGAAAAAAAAAAAAAAAACCCAAAAAAAACAAATAAAACCCCCCACCCCTCCAAAAGCTATTCAATACACCTTTATAAAACCTGCTGTCAGCAAAGCAGAATTGAAAAGAGATGTACAATGGGATGTGCAAGAGCTCAAAGGACAAAGAACAATGCAATTACATTTTAAGGGTGTGCTGAACATCCTGCCTTAGAGCACCAACTAAATGCAGCATCAACGTCTCCCAGTCAAGCCCAGAGAGATGATTGATAGATGAAAATAATATATTGTCCTCGTTGCTATGGCAGCTTTCCTATCAACCTGCTGATCAATGCAGGGAGTCCGATTTCCCCAAGCTGTTAATCTTGTCAGAAGTGTTAACATCCCTCAGGTTTGGCAGCATTTCACTTACTATAGCTTTTTAATGGCATCTAAGTTATACTGACATGTTATATTAAATAGCTGCACCTATGTGGGTTATACAGCCTTCCTGTAAGAAACAATCACTCTCACATGCATACTCCTGTAATATAAGTGGGATTAATTCTAGGAATGACCTAAGATCAACTTCCACATTATGAAATTACAGCTGTGTACTTTGCATCATACATTTTATACTGGTCCTAAAGCATCACAGGCTGGCACTCACTAAAGGGGTCTAATTCCCAAGCAAAGTCCAACTGAACTGATCTGCGGTTTAGAGGAGCAGAGAGTCCATGCTGGCTTGTACAGGATGCTCTTAATGACTAAATAACAGCACACAAGAGAGCTACAGAAAAGGCAGATAGCAAAGGGCTGCCATAATCAATGGTATTAAATATACCAGGGAAAACTTTGGACAAAATCAATAACATTCTGTCTTGGGTTCAGCAGTAGCAGTCATGTTTCTCCTTTGTGGCAGCTGGTGCAGTGCAGTGTTTTGACTTCCAGCCTGGGAATAGTGCTGCTGATACCGATGTTTTCAGTTGTTTCTAAGTGATGTTTACCCTGACCAAGGACTTTGTGAGGCTCATGCTCTGTCAGGGAGGAGGGGAAGCCGGGAGGAAGCACAGACAGTACGCCTGACCCAAGCTAGCCAAAGAGGTATTCCATACCACAGCATGTCATGCCCAGGGTGGGGGGTAACTGGGAGTTACCCGGAAGGACACGGGCTTCCGGGTGGGACTCGTTTCTTGGCCGGTGGTATCGTATTCTCTTCCTTTGTTATTTTCCCTTATCATTGTTGTCGTTGGTGGTAGCGGTGGTGATTTGTGTTGTACATTGGTTGCTGGACTGTTCTTGTCTCAACCCGTGGGAATTGCACTCTTTCGATCCTCCTCCCTGTTCCTCTGGGAGTGGGGAAGGGGAGAACCCCGGGGTGGGGGGGAGGGGGGCCCTCGATTGCTCTCAGCCTGGCACCACTCACTGGGAGTGAGTGAACAAGCTGTCTGGCTAGGGTTTAAACCACGACACATTCCTATTAATTTGATAATGCTGTTTGTAGCTAGATAATTAAAGCCTTAGGAATGTTTGTATGACCAAAGGCTTTATTTTCAAAGCTACTGGGTAGTTTGAAGATACCTGTTAGTTGTCTAATGAGATTTCCCATAGAGTTTTGACATCATTTAGATGCATGATTCAATTTCTTTTATAATCACAGAATCCTAGAATATTTTGGGTCGGAAGGGATGTTAAAGATCATCCAGTTCCAACCTTCCTGCCATGGTCAGGGACACCTTCCACTAGATGAGGTTGCTCATGGCTCCATCCAACCTGGCCTTGAACACTTCCAGCGATAGGGCATCCACAACACCTCTGGGCATCCTGTTCCAGTGTCTCATCACCCTCACAATAAAACATTATGAAGGTCCCAGGTTTCTGACTTTGTTTCATGTGAAACCCAACTTGGTAGTCACTGGTCCAACAGATATTTACAAATTGCATCTACTGGTCAAAATAAATTACTGTGAATTATACCCACCACATTTAGAATCAGTTCAAAAGTTTTTTTCCTTTAGAGCCCAAGAGATCAAGTTGTACACTCTCATTTTCATTTCAAGAGGCATATATTACATGGGCATGATCAGATGAACTTCCAGCAAAGTTATTCAAGTTCTCATGTAGTTCCCTGTGTAATCTTAGCATACAGTTTACACATATATGTATTTATTTAGGTGATGCTTATCTATAGAAATACCATACATAACATAGACCCCGAAACTGCATTTTGCAACGTATTTCTGAAACAATACCAGTCATGCTATTTAGTAGTAACTCGGCATTCAAAATGCATATTTCACCTTTTAAAAGTTTCTCCAGAAACACTTCTATGAATATATCAAGTTTCTAAGCTATGAATAAAGCAATGTCAAATGCTTGATTTAACCCCTTTTACACTGTCACTTGCAGTACAGAAAATGAATGAAGCCTAAGGTCTTTCCCTGTTAAGTGATAGCTTTAATTACCTTTTAAAAGCAGTTGAATAGCATAAAGGAAAAATAAACTTGGAGAAATAAGAATGGACATATAAATCAACGGGGGGGGGGGGGGGGGGAAGAAAAAGGAACATTTCTTTAGGAAAAAACAGGAAAGGAAAGTTTTCAGCTTTTAAAAAAAAGGTAACTTTTTGAATAGGTTTTCAAGAAAATATAAAAATAGATTTTTGTTCATAATTTCAGAAAATAATTGTCATTAGCATACACGATGGTGTGAACGCTTACCAAGCACTGACAGAGCATCCTGAACATGGGGCAGCATCACTCTCCCCTATGCACTGAACAAACACATCTTCAGTCCCTCTGTGACCAAAATTACAGTAGCAGATAATTCAAAGGCAAAGTTCAAATGAAAGAATAGAAAAACTGCAGTTGGTTATGACAAGTGCACATCCTTCACAAGTCAACGCTTGCAGTGGATGTTACAGTATGAATGAATAAAGTCAGCAGAGGAGCCTTAAGCCCATGGAGAACATGAAGCAACAAAGATAACAAGGTGTTCTTTCTGTTAGCAAGATACCGTTAAATAGAAAGATTTTTCATGGTAATTAAAAAATAAGGAAAAATAGATGCAGCCTCAAAACTGTTGCCAAAATGAGCAATTTTTCTCAAGCAAAACTAGATAAAGGCAAGCTTGTAAGCGAAGACTCACACAACGAGCCTAAATAGGAAAGACAACAGAATGAAAGAAAACAAGGAGATTAGCTTAGAAAAATAATAGATGAGAAAATAAACCAGATATAACAACTCTCTTGGGAAAAAGAGTATAAAATCAGAATAAGAGGAAGTGCCTTACCAAGCACAAACAAAAAATGATGTATGAAGTTAAAACACCAAACAACAAAACAGGACTCCAAATGTGGAAATATTAGACAGCTCCAAATAGCCACCCAGTCAAATTCCAAGAGGTGCTTAAAAAGAAAAATGTTATTTTGACAGAATATGTACAGGAACAAAATACATCCCTTTACTGCAAATGTAGTTAGCCAGTTCCTCTGTCCTTCACCAAACTTTTCAAAGGGGATTTGAATGTACAGTTTTATTTTCCAAATACTATTATTTGGTCTTTGTTCTCATCAATATCATTAGTCACAAGGCTTTTTTAGTTTTCCTCTACAATGGCATTTTATGAGTCAGCCAACTGAGTGGCCCAGAGATACCTGACATGATCAGAAAGCACATCCCAGGCTCAGAAATAACAAAGCAGACTACACTAATGTGTGCATGGACAGACATTATGTTCTATCCTTTGTAATGGTATTAGAAGATTGACTTAATATTTAAGAACAGGTAATTCCTTCTTGTCTGAAAAAATTATGAAAGTTGGCTTCTTGATGTGAA